TGACTGTGGGCAAGGCAGGAAAACTCTAGCTACAAAAAAGTCCCAAGGACATGGTGGTATGTGTCTTAATTCCAGCACTTGGAGGCAGAGGCAGGTGCATCTGTGAGCTTGGGGCCAGCCTGGTCAACATAGTAAGTTCCAGGCAAATGGAGACTCCAGAGTGAGACCCTCCCTGCCAAAAAAAAAAGTCCTGAGCACGTATATACTGGTCTTGTCAACTTGATTGGATTTAGAGTACCTGGGAAAGACACTTGGGCATGTCTATGACAGTGTTTCCAGAGCAGATAACTGGTCAGGGAAGACTTACCTTCAAAGTGGGCAGTAGGCAACTTTCAGTAGTCCCGATAAGAGAAGATCTCAGGAAAAGTGTACACCTGCCTGTATCCATCACTGACGTTGTCATCAGAGTCTTAACTTCTTCACCTTCCAAGGTGGAAACAATACCAAGACTCCTCTCCAGGGATCTTCTAGGCTCTTGATGCCAGATTGGGCCTACGAAGGCATCCAGCCTTGTGACCTGAGCAGCTACCAAGTTTTCTACCTCTCCAGCTTGCAGATACCATCCTTGGACTGCCTAGTCTTTTCTTTGTAAATCCCTTTATACAGCCCATGAATTTTGTTCCTGCACGAACCTGTCTAAAAGTTACTGGTATAACAAGTATGGACGGACACCCAAGGGTGGTTGACTTGATACACTTGCCATGTGGTGTATAAGCCTTGGAAGAGGTGTACAAGAGGATGTGGACAAGTCTGGAGTTAAAGGCCAGGGAGCGCTGGAATACTGTAAACAGAACTTAATGGGTGACTCTAGTGGGAGTGTAGAAGACATGCAGCCAGTGGGGGCGTGGCTCATGTGGTTTGAGAGGGGAGCACGGACTGGAGTGGCATCTAGGCTATTGTGTTGCGTTCTGGCAAAGACCTGGCTTTATCTTTTCTCATGTCTTTGAGTAAGGCTGAATTCAAAAGTAATGGATTAAGTTGTTTGGCAGAGGCAATTTCAAGACAGCTTAACCTCTGGGTGGTGGCATGGTTACCACTGTGTTTATTGAGGTTGATAATGACAATGCAAAACAGAAAGATGGAAACTGCAGTCTGGTGAGAAAAAACACGAACAAGGAGGATGAACATGTTTAAAGTTGCAGAAAAGGAGGGTGCAGACAAAGAATCCATAATTGTTAGAGATGAACAGAGCTAGAGAGACCTTACACTTTGTGCTGGGCCGTGGCAAAGGTGCCCTGAGGGTCCACTCACTGAATGAAGCTCCAGCATGTAGAGATGCAAATTCTCTTGACAAGTGTGAACTGAGTGCCAAGGAGAAGGTCCTCTGCTTGAGAACCGTCTGCCACATCCTGCCCATGAATTCTGCCACACCTTCTCTGTCATGATGGAGTTTAAACTGGGAGCCAAATCCATCCATCCATCCGGTCAACAGTAAGAGAAGTATGAAGACTCTTACTATTTGTAGTCAAGGCTAATTTACTAGTAGGGACAAAATCCAGAGCATGCTTGCCCGCCTTCTGACTGGTCAGAGTTAAGGTGGCCCACTTAGTGGCCCTCAGCGTGTTTCTAGGTGTTCCTGTTTGGAGGATTCTGGGGAAGCAAAAGAGACAGCAACTATCTTGCCCTTCTCTGGCTTTATCTTTTTTTCCCTCCTAAGTCATTCTGTTTGGGAGTTACTTTGGAATTGAGGAATAACAGGACTGGTGACTCCCAAGTAACACTCCTAGGACAGATTATCTCTCAAAATGAGAAACTACTAACAAGAATGAGGCTGCACTTGGGAGGGGAAATGATTATGTCATGGAAACATCAAGAGATGTCAACACCACTTCTCCAGAGCCTTCCACAGGCCTGAACTTAATTACCAGCCAAACCACTGGTTGCTTCATCAGCAGTGCATACCCCAACTGTCTCCTTTGTTCCCTCTTTTAAACCGTTAACACTTTGAAATTAATTTGGGGTTCCAGAACCCTTTTATCTGTTCTTCCCAACATGGCCAAGTGAAATGAATCTTTCTTTGCCTTCACTACTCAGTCACAGTGGCTTGCTGGGGTGGGTGGTCAAATTTAGTATACTGGGAGTTAGCCAGGACTTTCTCTAAAACCAGTAATAAAAATAAAGCTCTTCAGTGTCCAGATAACCTCAGCAGAAATACAGCACTCAGCCCAAGAACGAATGTCTAGGGGTTTAAAGTAAAGCACAGACCACAGGAAGCAATGAAGAAGGGCCCAGGGAAAACAACGTATTGTAGAGAAGAAATAGAAGAGCCATTTCACCTGGAAAAGACGAGAACAACTGGGGCCAGGGCTTCTCAGGAGAGGTTCCTGAGCCCAGGATGGGTGCAGGTTGAGTGGTGCCTTCTCCATGTGAAGAGCTGGATCACTTGATCAGCTGATAAGCTAAGTCTGCATTCGCGCCCCTACCCATACAACTGTAGTTCCCATTAGGAAATAAATGCACAGGATGCTCTCAACTCAGGACAGTTCCCATATCCTAAGAATGAAGGGCTAGTGACTGAAGAAGGGAACAACTATCATTCACTTTTTAGGTAACTTTATTCTCTAGTTGCAAGTCTAGATTTATTAAGAGGCTTTGATTCATTAGACTTTTCCTCAATATAGCTTCTTTGTAAACACTTTGAGCTACAGTAATCATTCCCATGAAACCACCTTGATTCTGACAAAAGAATCACAAACCCTATGAAGAGGCTACGGGGGGGGGGGGGGGGCCCGCGGAATATCTTGAACTAGGCTCTTTAAAAATGAAATTAAAGTTCTTAAGCATTTTTATTCTAGAACCAGGCATGATGATACATGCCTGGAATCCCAGCACTCTAAGAGGCCCAATGACGATGACTAGGAGGTGGAAGCCAACCTGGGCTACAAAGACCCTGTCTCTCAAAAAAAACTAAACAAAAAAAAGTTCTATGCTCTGGATTATCTCATCTTGAGAAAAGAACAGGGCAAGACAGGACCATACATGGCTGCCATGATTTGTCCTAAAAAGCGTCTGTAACAATGACTATGGTGCCAGTCCTGGCTGGCAGAAAGGTGTGTTTAATAGTTCTCCAGGCAGATTTCCTACCTGCCTGCACTGCCCCTCCCTCAGCCCTCAAGCTTGTCTGAGGTTTCATTTCACAAATAAGCAGCAGATGAAAATACTAGGAATAGCACAGTGGATACGGAGACTAAGTACCATACTCTTGTAAGAGTATGAGCCTAGACTTCCTCTGCCCCATGCAATAAAGTTTAATATACACTCCCCATATCTTTTTCTAACATTTTTATATAAATTTAAATATCTTACAAAAAAGAAAGGCTTTTTCCTCCAAACATATAAATTTGAGTGAAACACAGACTCCCACCCCTGAATACTTCCTCACTGAAATATAAATGCTCTGGTAAGAAGAGGAGGAATCTCAGCCACTTGGTCTCTGAAGCCCGTATCACACCGTGGAGAAGGCACTTGTGTTTTTGAGGTCTCCAGCAAGTGTCTCAGCACTCAGAATGGCCATCCTCCAGAACCCACACCAAGGCCTTCCAAGTACCCAGTCAGTGAGGCAGCTGGAGGAAGATGGTGAGAAAATGTGATTCTAGAATGTTGAAAATTAAAAATAAAAAGCACAGACTAGTTCTCACTGTAGAAGTGAGCTACAAACAAAATCCAAATTCATGACGATTAAACCTGCTTCATTCTCATAAATTATAAAATACAAAGGTGGCTGTTTAATGACAAGACTCAGACAGTACTGGAAGGGCTTGTGTCAATATACAAAAGTCAGTGTCTCCGGGCAAGACCCTCAGAGCAGCACCCAGGCCTACTGCTGGGCTAGAAGGGCTGTCCTGTTGGCCTTCATCTTCTCTAGACGCTTTGCCAGGTGGCTGTTGGTCATCTCCATCTCCTCGATCTTGTCCAGTGCTGTCCGTAGCTGGAGACAAAGAGCACAGTCACTCTATGTGGTCAGAAGAAAGCCCAGCATCTCTTCCTTTCTGCTTTCTGAGAAACAGCTCTGCTAAGAATGATAGCCATGTATGGGGGTCCCCAAACAGCTGCCACCTTTCTCCAGGCAGCTAGAGGCCTCAACAGTGGTGCTGAGGATTATAAAGCCACAAAACAAAACGTGTAAAGGCTGCAAAAACTGATGTCATCTGAAGCAAAACCCCAAAATACATTTTTACTTGCTGCCTTACCAAAGTCAATGGCAGCCACTGTGCAGGTCCAAAGTCTGTACGACGGGCAAAGTGGCTCCACTGTTCCTTTACCAGGTCTTTTGGGGTTTGGTTATTTGAGACAGGGTCTCATTGGCTATCCACGGCTGGCCTAGAACTTGCTCTGTAAATCAGGCTGCCCTCAAACTAACAGATTGGCCTGCCTCTGTCCCAAGTGCTGGGATTAAAGGCGTGCGCCGCCACACTTGACTAAAGACTTCTCGTGTCGTGAATTTTCCCAGACTGTCTTTGTAGCACAGTACCTCTCGCTGGAGCTTCCTCTTTTCTGCTTTCAGCTCATCTTCAATTTTCTCAGCATTCTCAGCAGCAGTTTTGTACCGCAGCACCTGCCCCTCAAGCCGGCTGATCTGTAAAGAGGAGCACACAGGCCTCTAGGGTTTGCCACCACTGCTTGGCAGCCAAGATGGAAACTCAGTGTCACTGGGGAGCCCGGGAGCCCGGGAGAAGTACAATCGCAGAGTCATTCACTCGAGGGCCAATTTCCCATGTTAAGTCTTCAGGCATTTGAAATGTACAGAAGGAACATTTTTCTAAAGAGGCCCTGTTTTAAAATCCCCTAGAAATAGCTTTTAAAAAATGACATCTACCAAGTACTATGTTTAAGAAAATATTGCACCTGTTTATTTACTGTGTGCACAGAGAGGTCTGTGCTTGTTTTATGTCAAATTGACACAAGCTAAAGTCCTCTGAGAGGAGGAGTCCTCAATTGAGAGAAGCCCTCCATAAGATTCGGCTGTAGGCAAGTCTATAGGGCATTTTCATTGTTTCTTTTTGGTTGAGACAGGGTTTCTCTGTGTAACAGTCCTGGCTGTCCTGGAACTTGCTCTGTAGACCAGGCTGGCCTCAAACTTGGTGTTCGCCAACTCCACCCAGCTGGGCATTTTTCTTAACTAGTGACTGATGGGGGAGGGGTTCAGCCCATTGTGGGTGGAGCCGTCCCTGGGCTATTTGTTGTGGGTTCTAAAAGAAAGCAGGCTAAACAAGCCATGAGGATCAAGCTAGTAAGCAGCACCCCTCCGTGGCGTCTGCTTCCAGGTTTCTGCCCTGCTTGAGTTTCTGCCCTCACTGTTTTTTATAATGAACTGTTATATGGAACTATGAGGAAATAAACTCTTCCCTCCCCAAGTTGCTTTTGATCATGGTGTTTCAGCACAGCAATAGAAATCATAACTAGGACCAGATAAGACAACACGTGGGAATCAGCTGTCTACAGACGTGTGGGTCCTGGGGATCAAACTCAGATCTTTAGGCTTGGCAGCAAGTGTCTTATCTGCTGTGCCATCCTGCTGACCCAGTCCTCCATCTTTAGAACAAACACAAAGTTGAATTTCCTCACCAGGTGTATTCTGGTGGCTTTTTATCTGTAATGCAGAACGTTTGAAGAGATTAAGTGGCTGAGGCCACCTACAGAAATTCAAAGGTCCAACTACTATGATGCAAGAGGCTGAGAGGCATTTGATAGCATTTAATGGCATCTAAATCATTTGCTGCCTCACAGAAGTACTTACACTTTGTTCCAAGGTGGTTATGTCTTGTTCTGCTTTGGAAAGCTTGAATTTGTATTCACTAATTTGTCTATTGGCATCTCCTAAAACAGAAGATAATAATGCATTACACTCATCTCCAGAATTGAAGCTGTGAAGTAGCAGATAGAGGACATGCAGTTCAGGTTCTGGACTCTATATACTGTAAGATAACTCCTGCACCTCTGCTCAACAGTATCCCTAGGGCCAAACAAGTTCTTCTTTCCCTCCAAATCAGTGGTTCTCAACCTGTCGGTCAAGACCCCTTTGGAGATCACGTATCAGATATTTATGACTCACAGCAATAGCAAAATTACAATTATGAAGTAGCAATGAAATAACTTTATGGTTGGGGGTCAGCACAACATGAGGAAGTGTGTTAAAGGGTCCCAGCATTAGGAAGGGTGAGAACCACTGCTCTAAATGCATGTGAACAGAGCGTTGAGAAAGGAAGTTCACAGGGTGGCAATGGCCCCTGAAGCCTCTGGGCCCCCTGCTTCTCTGAACCCAGCCCTGTACCTTCTAGTTCGCAGGCAGTGTTTCTGCTCTCTCACACACTGATTCAACTCTTCACCAGCCTCAGTAAGATACACTCGTCTCCATAACTCGGGAACTGTACCTTCTTCCCCTGCTCATTTTATCTGCATTCTCTTTACAATAATCATGTTCTGTAATACTGTTTGTGTATGTAAAGAGGGGGTCCTGCCTTAGTCTTCTTAAATTTATGGACCTATCCAAATGCTTTGCATTCTATGCTTCAATAAAGCTGAGATAAATGCTTTTCAATAATATG